AGAAAACTTAAATAAAAAATACTATTTATGTTGTATTTTTTCTGCTATTATTATAAATAGTAAAAGATTAATGAAAGAAAATGAATTGCACCTAATCAAAAGAGGAAACTCCCATCAATGAAAGAAAATGAGTTTTCACCTTACCAATTAAGAGAACTTCGGTGTATTTTCTTCTCCTCTAAGTGCTCTCTCCCCACGCCATTCCCATTTTTTAATGGAAAACGGTGTACTCTTATTAATAATAGAAAACTCAGAATACATCAAATTATGGAATAAGGCTTATCCCTTAACGTATTGTTATACGCGCAGGAGGGAACTTCATCAAACCAAGTTTGCTCCTCATTCACATTCTCTGACTATCTCGCCAAGCTCTTATCGTGTGGTTCCCACTCCTTTTACAATGCATGAAGGAGACCTCCATCGTCCATGCTAGCTGGTTATAGTCCTCTAATACCCCATCTACCTCATTTCGCCCGCTTGACAGTGCTTGCACCACAAGGAGGAATCCGATTCTATTTAAAAACTCTACGTCCTTCAAATCAACCCCACCTTTGCAATATGCAATCTGACTTACCTGACGCCCTAACTTGCTTCTTCTCGTTGCGAACTACCGCCCCCATTGCCGATCGGTCCAAGGGCCACATCCACATTCAAGTTCAAACCACCAGCCTTTAAAGGAATCCACCCATGCGCCTCTGATCCTTAGCTCTCTACTTAATTTCAGCCAGCTCCTTCACATATTGAACAGCATGCTCTCCACTCCACTCTTCTTCATAAAAACCCCAACAATATCTCGCCCTTTGTTCCATTGATCAGTTTTCATTGTTCCATTCGTTCCTTCATATATTGAATAGCATGCTCTCCGCTCCACTTTCTTCGTAAAAACCCCAACAATATCTCGCCCTTTGTTCCATTGATTAGTTTTTGTCAAACTAAAAAAGAAAAAAATCCACATAATTTGCCATGCCGTTAAATGTCTGGGTGGTCATTTTTAAAGCTAATTTTCAAAAAAAATCAAAGTTGTGCGCAGGTGCAACAAAAATGTTGAGAATTTGAAGAAAGAAGTTGATAAACTCAAGATTAAACAAGAAACTGTGAAGCGCCATATTGAAGAACTCGGCAGACAAGGAGAAGAAACCGTACCGAAGCTCAAGAATTGGCTGAATAGGGTTGAGGACTTCATCGAAGTGGCGGAGAAATTACTTGAGTTTGGTGAACAAAATGCCAACAAAAATGCCAACAACGAGTGTTTCTGTAGGCTGTGTCCCAATCCCTTGTCTCGATACAAACTCAGCAAGAAAGCACAGCTGAATTCCAAATATATTGATGAACTTGTGAAAGAAGCTGGTAGATTCAACCTCCCAAATTGCTATGCTCCTCCTTCACTACACAATGTGGCTGCACCTGTAGAAGGTTTTGAGGAGTTCCGCTCATGAATGGTTGTTTTGGACCAGATCATGGAGGCATTAAAAAGTCCAATTGTCAACATGATCGGAGTGCATGGGACTTCTGGTGTGGGGAAAACAATGCTGGTCAAAGAGGTTAAAAGAAAGGCCAAGCAGGACAGCTTGTTGTTTCCTACAGTAGTTACGACTAAAGTGACAAAGAACCGGGAGTTGAAAAAAATTCAAGAAGACATTGCTTGCGGCTTGGGCATGGATCAAATTTCTTTTACAGAGCTTACAGATCAACAAGTTGCAGATCGAATAAGGGCAAGACTACTGAAAGAAAAGAAATTTCTCATAATTTTGGATGATGTTTGGGAGACCGAAATAGCTTTGGAGGAAATTGGAATCCCTTCTGCGAGTGGGCTGCGGCAGCCAATTGATAGAAAGAATGAAATAAGCTCTTCCAGTGAAGAACATCCTGTGACCTGCAAGATTTTACTAATCTCTGAAGAACGGGATGTTCTCCTGAGAAGAATGGATTCAGAATATCATCAGGTTTTTGAAGTATGTAAATTAGAACCTGATGAATCTTGGGAGTTATTTAAGAAGACAATTGGTGATGATGTTGAAACTCCTGATTTGCAGCATTTAGCAGAAGAGATAGTTGAGAAATGTCTTGGATTGCCCGCTGCGATTGTATCGGTTGCAAATGCCATGAGAGGTAAGACTCAACTGTATGAGTGGAAGGATGCTCTGCTAAGTCTGAAGAATCCTTCTCCCGATGGTATATCTGCAGCAATTTATAAGGCTATAGAGTTGTTAAAAAAAAAAAAAATATAAGGCTATAGAGTTGTAAAAAAAAAAAGAAGCTATAGAGTTGTACGCAAACGGATCATGATGCATTTGTTATTGTTTACACCCATTTTTGCATTGCAAAAAAAAAAAAAAAAAGAATGGTGCCATGTTGGAGGAGATAACAGTTATCTATCTGCAGTAATTTATAAGCCCACACAACAAAACAAATGCAAGCATAAGATAGATAAGATTGCATGAAGATCGAAATAAATATTACCTACCCATGGCATCATAAGTTGCAGCAAGTTTGCTATATAGAACCAACAAAACTTGTGATTACATAAAGTCATCCCTGAACCAACAAACATGCCTAATTCTCTACCCTGTGAAAATCAGTAAGACTTCACCATAAAATTTAAACTCATCTCATTGCTCCACTGGAAGATTGCCATAATGGATTATAAACAGGTAACACAGCAGCAACAATGTAAAATTGACCCAAGAAATGCTTTGCTAATGATGTAACTCCTGCCCAGCAATTTAACAGGAAGGCCATCAAACTAAATGCAAGCATTAAAACCCAAAAAACCTGAAAGACCTCTAAGATAAGCTTGAAACAAACAAAACTACACAAAGAAAGCATCCAAAATACAAGAGCCAACAGCATTAGTGGTATCCGAGATTTTCTTCAAAGAAGGACCATCTCTAAGTAGGTTTCACTGGATATGCTCTGTAACCAGCACAAACTCGAACTTTTTTCACTTAACCCGCTCGATTGTCCATGATCCAACCCTCTGAAAATAGTTAAAAAAACATTACAAAGGAAACTAAAGAAAGGAATCTTCATCGCTCCACTCCTCACCTCCCTTGAATCCAGTCTTATTCCATTACCTGCACTAAAACCTGAGGTCAATGGAATCTTTGTCGGTGGCGATCTCTCCGTCCATCGACTCTGATCATTTTTCCTTAGAAGGAAGGAAATCTAACAGAAATATGGAAGAAAATGAGAAAATCAAGATGAAGGAGATAGAAACTTATCAGCAAAATAAAAATTCAAACAAAATCCACTTGACTGCAAAGAAAACCAAGCCATCTGTTGCTAGAAACTTCAAAACCACATTCTACAATGTAGTCCCAAAATTTTCAGGGGTTTTGGATAAATTTCTGTTCTTGAAACAAAAAAACAAAAAGGATTTGGCATTGGGTTCATCAGAGTTTAAATCAAACAAGGATAAAATTTCTTTGCTAAGAAATACAGAGCAGGATGCATTCATTTAAACCCAAAGCATCTGATTCATAAAATGAAATGGATAAGATAAAAAGCAGCAAAACACAGTGAACCCAAATACATTATTTTAAACAAAAGAGGATGATAGTGATTAGACATAGTTTGAAGCAGACAACTCAATCTATATAAAGCCAATACATCACCTCTTGCGACTACCCTTCACCACTGCATTCACATTCACATTCACAAAACAGTAAGAGAGAGAGAGAGAGGACATTTTAAAGTAGTTGTAGGGGTTGAGATGTTAAAGATTGTTGCTCTCTTTGCTGAATTGATCACTACCAGATCCTCCGCCGAACTGTCTCACTAAAAAAGGGCTGCTCTTCTTCATATTTCCCAAATCAAGGGCCTCGGTATTGTTGCCATTTCCTCCTCTGCACTTCACCCCCTTGGATTTCATACAAAACACAAATCCTTAATAAGGAAAAGCTAATTAGATTCCATTATCGAATTGTTTGAATTCAAATAAAGCAAAGGTAAGAACCTCTAAATTACAGTTTTTTTTGCTAGGCTTCAAAGTTCAAACCCTTCCACACTCAACAACAGATTTCAAGTTTTAAGAATAAAGATTGTAAAAAGTTTCAAAACAAAAGGACAATCATATCAAACATAGAGAAATCAATCACAAAATTAAAACTAAGTTATAGCTGTCAATTAAAACCAAAAGGCAAAAATCACAATCAAGCTATTCAACTATAAGTATTGAATCCATTTTTCATTACATCTATTAATAACAGAAGTTTAAGTGTCGAAAACATAGATGACATCAAGAATTGTCAGATGAAAGAAAACAGACAATTATAACCAGAAAATAGAACAACAATACAAAGGGACCTTAAATATAAGTAAGCAAAAACCAAAAGGAAAGGCAGGAAAAGCATTATGGGTAGTGAGAAGGATGTCAATTGTTCAAGGATTGATTTCATCAAAGTACAGCAGAGCAGCCATGCCCAACGAGCAGAGTGAATTCAACAATCAAATTATCATGAATTTTAAAAAATTGAGAACCAATTAACTTTCATTCCTCTGAAAAATTGCAATTACAGTTGATTACAAAACTCACCCATTCTTTGTATCCATATTTGAATCCAATACCGCAATCACAAATCACAATCACATAGAAGCCTCAATACATATGCATGAGTCACCCATTAATTTCT